CAATAGTGACTGACTGGGACTCCCTCATAATTGTTTATTTAAATGCCTATATATAAAAAAGAACTCCTGAGCAAAACATATGAACTTTTGCAGCTACCCCCAAGCTGCATGGGTCAAGTGCTTATTCTAGGTTCAAAAATAACAGTTATACTTACCCGAAGCTCTGAACCAGCTGTCTGTCACAGCGCTCCCTCCAGCCTGTCGTCTCCTACAATGCAGAATTGGAATGTTCCTCAGTGTCCTCACGTCTATAACATAGTAAATTGTGAGATTTAGAAAAGTAATACCCAATTCTTCAGCCAGACATGGTTGTTTCTTGGTTTTCATTTGTATGTTGTCATTTCAGCCACAAACTGTAGCACATGCAGCCAGTAAGACATCATGTTGGGACAGACCCAAAAATTATATAATATAAAGTATGCCCGTTCTTATGTACATCTTCAACAGCTCAATTCATCCTAAACTTCTTAACAGTCAATAAAAAAAAGTTCATGCAGGATTTAGATTTTCTGGTATCATGCATCCTAACAAGGCTTCTTCCATTTGTTTGTGTTATGCTGTCCAGTGATGAGCAGGCAAAGACCTGTCTTCCACTGTTTTCTTAGAATATATGTAGCTTTTAAACATAGATTTCTGCTCGTTAGTGGTGTATTAAGTCTCATAGAGCAGTAATTAAACAATAAAAGTGACCTTTCTGGCTTTATTGCATTACATGCGACCAGAAAGTGGCAATGACATGGAGCAAATGTGTATTGTAGCTGGGTCATATATCTTGGGTTTGTTTTATCTCATTCTACCTATAGCTAGCTGACAATCTAATACATATTGGTAGTCCACACAGTTAAATATTGTTTGTTAGCAACATGGAATAAGTCAGAATTTCTTTTTACTTTTGAAGGAGTTTGAAATGATTGGTAACATAAAATCTGTCTCCCTGTGAATGAATTTCAGCTATTAGAAATTGTTTGCATGAGCTTATGTAAAATAAGGTCTGGGATATATTGTGATGGGAGCTCTCCCTCTGACAAAATAAATGTATAAACCTGACACCCAGCAAAGATTTTGGCTGGTTTCTGGAGTATTGGGACATGTGACATGTCCAGTATTTGAAGTGAAAACTTGAGTTATAGTAGTTCTAGCTCCTATGGATTAAAAACATGCATGCAGAAAACATTTGATATGCAAATGCATGGTATACACCATGCCAAGTTGAATTTGTGTTACCCCATCACAGAATCCTGATATCTAGACATCTCAATGCCTAAAGCAGTGTGTAGATCTTGAAATGCATTCTGCTTAATGGCATGACCCCGAGAAATGAAGAATCAGTTGTCTCCCTCTATTGTTTTGCTAGACAAAGTAAAACCGTATGGTCATTGTGCTACAAACTCTTCTTCTTTGTGTCTTATACATTTCTCACTCTTTTCTAGAATCCATTTCTCTGTATCATTCAGTATTGTATGACCCTAAAAATCTTTAAATACACCCATTATACTCACCTTCTCTGATAAGCGTATAATAAACCTCATGTTCTTCAAACATTGCATCTACCATTATCACCCCCTGTCACGAACCCGAGCCCCGTCTCCTCACACAGCCGTGGCGCCATCTCGTTGCTAGGAGACGGGCCGGCAGGCCTGCGTACTCGGCTCCTCCCTCAAGACGTCTCCCTCGGACTCGTCACACATAGGAGTGAGGGCGTAGCAGCCTGGGCCTGGGAAGCATCCCATTGCTAGGAGACATTCGGGAGGGCCTCTGCTGACTGCTCCGCCCCAACACACCTGCCTACTCTTAAAAGCCTGGAAGGCACACTTGCTCAATGTTCTAGCGAGGTAGAACGTTGAGCAATTTCTTAGGGCTCATACCTCTGCTCCAGCACATGAACCTTTCACTCCAGCAGCATTGTAATCCGGACTTCTTCCAGCACAGCAGTGATCCTTCGCCCTGTACTCCTGGAGGGCTCTGAATACCCCAACAAACCGCAAGTACCATCCTGGACTCTGTAATTGTTTACATTGCCTGCAACTCAGTGGGGTTTAAAGAGACACTGCTCTACAAAGGGGGTTGCTCAGGAGTACTGTTAATTACTGTTTGATAAGCCTGCAATAGTGTTATGCATGAGTAAGTGTGAACCCCCCACCCTGAGCCATCCACAAAGCCTCTCCGCAGCTGAGATCCTAAGCCAAACTCGCTCAATCATTACACGTCGCTAGAACCCCTAGAATGGATCCAGCGGAGTTGGCTAATCATATTGTAAACCTCACCCAACGCATGGAGGCTCTCTCTATTACCGTTAACGAGATTCGAGCCGAAAATCAGCAGTTAGGTGCTCGCATGAAGGAGCATGCAGCCCCCCCTTGGGAAGCTCCTGAACCCAAGGTCAGTCCTCCTGATGTGTTCTCAGGAGACAGGAGTCAGTATCGGGACTTCCTCAATGCATGCACCCTCATGTTTGAGCTAAGACCTAGAACTTACCCTACATCCTGGAAGTTGACGCTTCAAATACTGCCATCGGAGCAATCTTGTCACAAAGGGAGTCATTACTAAAACCCCTTCATCCTATAGCCTTCTACTCCAGATCGATGAACCCGGCTGAGTTAAACTACCCGGTTGGAGAAAAGGAATTGTTAGCCATCAAATGTGCGCTAGAAAATTGGCGCCATTTACTTGAGGGTACACCAACTCCTATCATCATATACACAGACCACCAAAACCTTCAATATCTGAAAACAAACCGGACCCTTTCTTCACGTCAAGTCCGTTGGAGTTTCTTCCTAAATAGATTTAATTTCCTAATTACATACCGGCCAGGCTCAAGGAACGGAAAGGCCGACTCATTATCCCGGCCTTTCAACAACACCTCTAAATCCAGGTACTATTGTTCCACAGGATAAGATTCTTGCTACCATTTCCAGTATCAAAGATCAACTCAGACAAGCACTGAGCGCTCCGGGCATCTCATTTCCTCCCAACTTAGTGGCAGATCAGGAAGGGTTCCTTTACATGGACACCAAGCTGTTCATTCCTCCTTCCCTACGGGTAGCCATTCTTCGGCTGATGCATGATATGCCTCTCGCAGGGCACCCGGGTATGATGAAAACCGTAGAATTGATTAAAAGATCTTTTTGTGGCCACAGATAGCGAAAAAACTATATGGGAATTCGTAGCCTCATGTGAAGTATGTGCAACCTGTAAATCCGATAAAGGAAAGCCCTATGGACTCTTGATCAATACGCCTATACCTAACAATCCGTGGGAGGTCGTTTCCCTGGATTTCATTGTGGAACTACCTCCATCCCATAACCACAACACCATACTTGTGGTAGTGGACGTTTTCTCCAAAATGGCTCACTTCATCCCTCTTACGAGATTGCCTACTGCTCAGGAGACGGCAGAAGCTTTTCTGAAACATATTGTGAGACTCCATGGCCTCCCAACTCAACTCATATCAAACCGCGGAACCCAATTTGTCTCGAAATTCTGGAGAGCTCTTACAATTATCATGTTTCTGTACAGCTGCTGCCAAGTCTTTCAGCTCAGCTTCCCTAAATCTAATCTCAAGTACACAATCACAAAGAACAGTGCAGACTCCTGCAACTGTTCATCTACTAGCTTGTAGAAGGGAGATGGCCAGTCGGGAGGGAAGTAGCTTGACTTGCTGTGTTTGTGGAGACACACACGTCTTACTAGCACACACAAGGGTGACTGCATAGCACTCTGAGAGGAAGTTAGGGCCAGTGCTCAGAAGACCAGCTGATCCTGCACAAAATTAAAACTTTTAAATATCAAGGAGCAACATTCATTGTAAGTGATTTAATCAGCATTTGAAATGGCTTTAAATTAGGGCTGGTAATGATTAAAATTTTTGTGTTCGATTTAATCAAATTTTTGTTTTAATCGATTAATTTCGATTAATTATAACGCACATACAGATCCAACTGCATTGGCCTATACACATACAGCACAGCAATGAAGTAATAAAATGAACTAAGATCACACTAATCCAGCCCGTTATTAATCTCACGTGCCCCACTCAATATGGCCGCCGCTTGAGTGGGGGCAACTCAGAATAATAACGTGCTGGATTAGTGTGATCCTAGTTCATTTTATTACTTCATTGCTGTGCTGTATGTGTATACGCCAATGCCTTGGCTGGCGCTCGTGCAGAAAGTTTCTTGGGCAAACTCACCTGCCCAAGTGGCTCCGTCGGCGGACATCGACGTCACCGGACTACTCCCCCCTCCCTTCGTTAACCGTCACGGACATCGACATCACCGGACTCCTCCCCCCTTCCCTTCATTAGCCGACGGAGCCACTTGGGTAAGGGGGAGGAGTCCGGTGACGTCGATGTCCGTAACGTCACCGGATTGCCGACGGGACTTCCGGAAGCCGGCGGAGAGGTGAGTGTTTTCATTAACGATCAAAATTATTTTAATCGATCAAAAAGTTTAATGATTAATCGAGAAATTAATCTTTAATTTCCACAGCTCTACTTTAAATCTGTTTAACTTTAATATCACTTTAAGCCCTGTGCTGACTTCTGGGAAAAGCAGTGAGACATTCAAACACAAGCAGTAAATTCCTTTTTTGGGGATGCACAATTTACACAATCAATGTACAGAGCACTCCTAATGTTGCCATTATTAGAATTTTTTTGATTTTTTTTGCTATTTTCAAAAAACATGGCTGGACTTAAAATGAAAAGACATATTTAGCGAGTATTTCATATTTAAATAAAAGCCTTGTATAGCAGTTGTAAAATAGAAGCTACTTATCCTCTTCAGAAAACTCACATTACCAAAATATGATGTGCAGAGAAGTGATCAAAATAGCCTTCCATGAGAACACTTAAATAAAAGAATTTATATTAGATACATGTTAAATACTGTAAGTGTAATTTAGTTTGATTAGACCTTTATTGCATGTTTCAGTATGTACAGTATGTATGTATGTATGCATGTATTGAAGAATAATGGCTTCCCCCCTCTTATTCCCACCAGGTGTTGCATTCCCTTGGACCATCAACCTCCAGCAGTTCAGCGTCTATACTCTCTTGGAACATCAAGTAATACTGAACTTAGTGGAGCCCATGGGCTGTACCTCCACTCTGGCTGTGACATCCAATGCACTGCCCTCTGCTGGGCCCGAGGCTGGACACTCTTTTGTTGTCTGTCTTCATGTTGATCTTGAACCTCTAGAAATAAAATGCTCCAATCCCCAGGTGGGTAGATTTTACTTTTTCTTTTTTTGCATTTAATCTTGCTTTAACCTGGCAATAATTTCACTCCTATTCGGTTAAGCTTTTCAGAGGGACAATTAAAATTTCAAAATAGTAGTAAACAATTGTTATCAATTTAAATTACAGCTTAGGAAAAGATTACAAATGGCTGTTACTGCACTTTATCATCTCCAGTTGTCTTTACAGTCAACTGTTACTAATGCTTTTCAGCAAACACTACAGTCTTGTAGCAGTCGGTTCATTTATTTGGACTAAATGAAAGTGTTACTGCACCTTTGGGGGAAAAAAAGGATGGTTTGGGGGAAAACACTATTTTATTTTTAGGTATAAAAGTCTGCTGATAAACAATATTTACACAAGAACTTCTCCTCCTAACAATCCCCTACTTCAAAATACCCCAAATGCTTCTGATCCTACACACTACGCACAACATACTGTATGCATGAGGATATTGTTCTCTGTCCAATAACAAACTAAAAGTTTGTTTTTGGACAAATTTAACCCCCCCCCCTCCCCATTTCCCGCCACCCACAAAAAAACTTCTGGGAATGAAAACCACTGATTTCCCAATGCAGTCCGGGCCTGCCACCAAATGTTCTTGTTGCCACTCCTCATTGTGATGTCATACGTTGCTGGTGTCCTCTGGAGCCTGTATAGGTCTCGCACTGGACAGCCAATTAGAAGTGTTATTATCAACCAGGCATTAATGTGGGCACCTGAAGGAGGACCAGTTACCTCTGCAGTCTAAAGGAAAGACTCTGGGCCCAGTGCATCAAGTACCTGCAGATTCTGGATCCACTGGAGAACAACAGCCTATGCAGCATGCAAGGCCCATAATGTCTCATCAGAGGACTGAAGATCTAAATAAAAAAAGACCTGTATGAAGAAGAATTAAAAAAACAACAAAGGCTGGGGGAAGGGTGGCTGCTGGTTTGGTTGAAACCCATACAGTAGTAACTCATTTGTCTGCTTAACAGTACCCTTTTATATCTATTCCTACTGAGGGAACATAGTGATCCTTCAGGTAAATATACACTTATTCTTTCATAAAATTATTTTATTTTTAAAGATTTTCAAAGAAAATCTAACTTTAAAGTTAAACCTTTCATTGTGTTCTAAAAGCAATAGAAAGGTTTGCGGTGTATGTGCTATTTGATGTGTTTGTGGGTTTTTGTAAATGTCACTCTCTTTAATGTGTTTTAGCAGCGGCATCTCCTGCCTAATAGGATGAAACAAGTAGCAGATGTGTAGTTTTTGTGGACCTTTATGCATGGCAGCACTGGCTTGTGAAAGCACATGCTAGGCAACAATAAAAAATCTTCCAGTTGGGTTTACACCCCTATGCTCCTTCACGCTACATGAAGTTATGAATATCAGGCAGCTAGGAAGAATGTCTGGAACACATCACAGTAGGTTGGATTGGAAAGGTGCTTGGGGACACCGAGTATGACCTGAGTTTGCTTTTTGTTTGTGTTTTTTGCAATTGGCAGTGTTCAGTTTTTAAGTCTTGACTAGAGTTGTACAGATACCAAGTACAGTACTCGGTACAAGTACATGTACCGATACTTTTGAGCTCCAAGACTAGACTAGAGAAAAATTCAAAAATTAGGAGGCGGCTGTCATTTGTAAGGAGCATACGGGACTCCTGGGATTTGTACATCTCTGTTTTAATGTATGATTTTGTTTTTATAAATATAAATAAAGGGATGCACATATACCAGTTTTACGAGTACTGGTACTTGCCGAGTACTTTCAAGTACGAGTACTGATACATTTTTGTTTATTGTCATGTGATAGTTTTTCTAAAACAATACAGACTAATGATTTCAGGACAGTGGTAGAGTTCCACAGCCAGGTCCCAGCTGCAACCCTGGTAGTTCTCATGAAAATGCCAAGTATCTGCACTGGTACTCGAAAAATATCTGTGCATCCCTAGTCTTGACTCTGGTGAGGTGGCGGCTTTTATGTTAGGCCTTTCATGTTATGACCCCACTGGGAAGTACAGTGGGAATGCAGTAGTGATTTTAGCTCTCTAGCTTTCGGGAGTGCTGTTCCAGAGGGATCTTGTGCCATGGGTGAAAAAATGTGCATACTAAACTTCGCAAGCACTGCCAAACAAGCCTTGCCTGTGGTGCTATCATCCTTATCCTTAATGTAGGGGGTCACTTACCTGGAAAAGTATGTATGCTTATTTCAGGTGAGTGACCTTCTTTGCATATAAAATATTTGCTATAATGTTGCAACTGATTTCTTGATTGGGAGAGAGTAACTCTTTGAATGTTTACAATTTAATTTACATGAATGCAGATTGTGCAAATTATGTAGTGATTGGCTGATAGCCCTTAAACAGGTTCTTCATCATTTTATGATTTGGAGTGTTCGTCTAAGTATATTCACAGATATCCCCTGATAGAAATGTGTTTTATTGTTCTGTGCATTGTGCACGTTCATAGCAATATATTTTTCTAGTATCATTGTAACATTCTGGCAAGCCGTTGTTGTGAGAATGTACACTGTGACTTCACAACTGGTCATCACACAAAGGTATTGAGTGTCTTACAATGTGTCTTGGGCCACTGTCAACTCCACTGCAGCTGGGTGACCTGCACAGCACTCTGCAGGCTTAGTGTGTCTCATTTATAGAAAAGATGTTTCATAAAATGTACCCCTGTGATTTGATGCAATTTAACATTCAAGGTAATAGCATATTTGGAAATATAATATGCAAGGAACACATTTCCCTGGAAAAGTATGCAGTTTGCAGCAGACCTTTAAATAGAGAAGAGATCAAAATGGTTTTGCTGATGTCTGACACTGAGTGGTGTATGTAGAAATGTATTAGGCATTCCATGTTGTCCACCTTAAAGGAGAACTATGAGATGAGTGATTTCCACTCACCTCATAGTTCTAGGCCGACCTGTGACAATGAGACTGTCACAAGAAGTGTTCAGTTTTTAAGTCTTGACTAGAGTTGTACAGATACCAAGTACAGTACTCGGTACAAGTACATGTACCGATACTTTTGAGCTCCAAGACTAGACTAGAGAAAAATTCAAAAATTAGGAGGCGGCTGTCATTTGTAAGGAGCATACGGGACTCCTGGGATTTGTACATCTCTGTTTTAATGTATGATTTTGTTTTTATAAATATAAATAAAGGGATGCACATATACCAGTTTTACGAGTACTGGTACTTGCCGAGTACTTTCAAGTACGAGTACTGATACATTTTTGTTTATTGTCATGTGATAGTTTTTCTAAAACAATACAGACTAATGATTTCAGGACAGTGGTAGAGTTCCACAGCCAGGTCCCAGCTGCAACCCTGGTAGTTCTCATGAAAATGCCAAGTATCTGCACTGGTACTCGAAAAATATCTGTGCATCCCTAGTCTTGACTCTGGTGAGGTGGCGGCTTTTATGTTAGGCCTTTCATGTTATGACCCCACTGGGAAGTACAGTGGGAATGCAGTAGTGATTTTAGCTCTCTAGCTTTCGGGAGTGCTGTTCCAGAGGGATCTTGTGCCATGGGTGAAAAAATGTGCATACTAAACTTCGCAAGCACTGCCAAACAAGCCTTGCCTGTGGTGCTATCATCCTTATCCTTAATGTAGGGGGTCACTTACCTGGAAAAGTATGTATGCTTATTTCAGGTGAGTGACCTTCTTTGCATATAAAATATTTGCTATAATGTTGCAACTGATTTCTTGATTGGGAGAGAGTAACTCTTTGAATGTTTACAATTTAATTTACATGAATGCAGATTGTGCAAATTATGTAGTGATTGGCTGATAGCCCTTAAACAGGTTCTTCATCATTTTATGATTTGGAGTGTTCGTCTAAGTATATTCACAGATATCCCCTGATAGAAATGTGTTTTATTGTTCTGTGCATTGTGCACGTTCATAGCAATATATTTTTCTAGTATCATTGTAACATTCTGGCAAGCCGTTGTTGTGAGAATGTACACTGTGACTTCACAACTGGTCATCACACAAAGGTATTGAGTGTCTTACAATGTGTCTTGGGCCACTGTCAACTCCACTGCAGCTGGGTGACCTGCACAGCACTCTGCAGGCTTAGTGTGTCTCATTTATAGAAAAGATGTTTCATAAAATGTACCCCTGTGATTTGATGCAATTTAACATTCAAGGTAATAGCATATTTGGAAATATAATATGCAAGGAACACATTTCCCTGGAAAAGTATGCAGTTTGCAGCAGACCTTTAAATAGAGAAGAGATCAAAATGGTTTTGCTGATGTCTGACACTGAGTGGTGTATGTAGAAATGTATTAGGCATTCCATGTTGTCCACCTTAAAGGAGAACTATGAGATGAGTGATTTCCACTCACCTCATAGTTCTAGGCCGACCTGTGACAATGAGACTGTCACAAGTCGGCTCAGTAGATCGGGAGGTGAGGGAACACATACCGGGTTCCCTCACCTCTCGATCCTGTCACGGCTCTCTGCCGTGATAGGGGGAGGGGCTGGATTCCCCTCTCCGATCTGCCAGCGCTGACTGGCGGAACGGACGGGGGAGGGGGCGGGTACAGCTGGCTCTGCCTCTAGATAGGCAGAGCGAGCTGTCACTCACGCAGCTGGGCGGATCCCGTCCTCTACGTCGGGATCCGCTCCAGGTGCGGCGTCTCAGTATACCGGGAGCTGTAGCTCGCGGTATACTGAGCTTAGGGTAACGGGAGGAGGCTAGTTTGTGTCCTCCCGTTACCCCAAGGAGAACTATGGGGAAAAACACTGACCCCATAGTTCTCCTTTAAAGAATACCTGTATGTATAAACCTGTGTAACTCCTTTAATATATCCATGGGTGCAATGTGTCTTTCCAATTCTAGCTTATACCAGGGTTAAAATTAAAGGAGGTCCAGTGAGTAAAATTGTTATCGAGCAGAGGTCCCGATTGTGGTTCAGGCAGGACAGTCAATCAGTCCGTGTCTGTACCACGGTCCAACATTTAGGCTGCATTCA